GCAAAGCATTCTGTAAACACTAGAGGAAAACCATCAAAACTTGAGAATCTGGAAAGAGAATAGTGAGGTTCCTTTAAGAAGTAATAGCACTGAAAGCTTGAAATTTTGCTATGTAGGCAGTTCTGTATTCTGATCAACCTAAATCCTGCATTGCGAAGGACATGGCTTGGGGTCACCTGCCAGTACATCTCCCTGACCATTGTCTTGTTTGAGTCACTTTTCTTTTACTGTAGAACTACTTCAACTGCAACTCTGCTGTCACAGGATAGTCTAGTGCAAATATGTATCTCCCCCAGCAGACACTTCCACAAATATATGCTTCCCCCAACAAATGCTCCCTACTATCCCTGGATATTGAGTACTGCCAGCAAGGGGTGTACTGAAAGTGGCAGAAAACATACCATGTGTGAGATGTTATTTGGTGTCACATCAACCGCTCTGTCATTCATTCAACATTGAATCATCTCCCCTGTGGGAAAGGTTAGGCTGTATCTTACACCATATTCTGTCTGATTTTTACTAGGACATAGAAAAATATTTGCTCTTCTTTGTGTTGCATCTACCAGAGTTTAAATTTGCATTGTTTCTTCTAATCGCTACTTGTTTAGCACAGTGCAAGTTTGGACAAAAGCCTCTGTGAAGCAACTGTGATCTTTATTTAGCAAGGACCTGGAGGATCACCCTTTGAGGTTGGAAAGTATTTTGTAGTAGTGAAAAGCCTCCTATGGTGCCTCTCTATCTGAGCAACTTTAGCAGCTTTTCATTTGCTCATTCAAATAAATCAACCTCAATGCTGTCACGTACATAAGAGTTATTATCTCTGTTTGGGGTCCCAGAAAAGAAGACAAATCAATTTCCCAGGACCTGCTACAAGATTGCAACACTTTCAGAAAATTTTTTTTGGTTTACATTTACTAGAACTGCTTTGCTGGGACCTTATGCTGTGTGACTCTCGTCCACTCAAAGCCTGGAACTGCCCTCTGTTCCTTCACCTTTTACCCATTAAAAACAAATAACATGACCCTTTTATATCCACAAAACAATGACACAGTAAAGAACTTTGGCTCCTGCCAATGCCAGAGTCCAATCAGATTATAAAAAAATATTTGTTAAAAAAAAGACTACAAAATTACATTTACTGTTACTCCTGATTTCACTTTCCTTTCTCCCTGGTCTCTGCACAGTAGATTATGTTACTAAGTTAGAAACTTCAGTTGTCGTGTCATTGTACATAACATATGCTAGCAGCTGGAGGAGGAAATGTCATTGAATAATTACAGACAACAAGGGCTGGAGAGATCCTTGAGAGTCCATCCCAATGCTTGGTTCAGGTAATCCAGATTGTAATTACATCTCAAAAACAGCTGCTTAACAGTTTTTAAAAGTTGGTGATGATGAAAGTACTGCAAACTCCACAGTTATTCTCATCTAGTACTGTCCACACCATTAGAAAGTCTGTTGTATGTCTAATATAAGTGGTGGAGAACAGAGAATTAAATTCCTCTTTATGGATAACTTCAATCTTGAAGATTATGTTATACGAATCTTTTTTTAAGACTGCTTCTTTCAATTTTTCATTACAGATTGTGTTTTGTATTCCTAGCCTTATTTTCCTAGCTCTTCTGTAAAGCTCTCCTGGAATGCGCCACACATAACTGGATGTGGTGCTCCAGGCTGAGGCTTTGCCCCTGGCAAACACAACGGAAGTACTATTTATTATGTCTTACAGTTTTACACGTGCCAATAGCACACTGAGTGTCTACTTTCCCAACAAAGTCATCTGCTGTATGATTGAGGGTCAGATGAAATGCCCTTCAGAGAGAAAGTGCAAACAATTGAAAGTGAGGAGGCTGTGCCAGGGCAGGGAGCTCTTGGCTCCCATGTCCTAGGCTTGCTTTCATCACTCAGCCAATGGAACATGAAAAATGCAAATCAGTTATGTAACTAGTAATTGTGAAAGTTTCCAAGAGAAAAAGGTACCTCTCCCGTGGTTACAGCTAGTAACAAAATACCTGTAGCCATCTGTGTCTCTCCACTAACCATTCATTTAAGCAGTAGGAGACTTGGCAGACCTGTCTTCACCACTGCAGAGACCAGAAGTGAAATGATTTTCCATTTTAAGCAGCAGTGGAAGTAGCAAAACAGGAATGAATGCACAAAAAGCAGAGCTCCCCAGAAAAATGGTTTGAGGGCTGCCTTCTTTTGCTTAAAAAAAAAGAACAAAAAATGTGTGAGGAAATTTAGGAGCAGTAAGTTTAGGGTCTGGGATGTATTTAATTAAATTGTAGCCCTGCACAGCCCTTGGGAGAGAACTGGCATAAAGCTGGGATAAAGCTGTTGTAAGAGTGTGTAATCAGTAGCACATGTGGCAAGATGCTGAGCACCTAAGTCAGTGCTGGTATGACGCAGATGCCAGGTTCAAGGCAGCTTGCCAAAAGTAGCCCACTGTCTGTTGACAAAAGCATTACGTACCTCATACGTAGTATGAATCGGGTTGAGAATACAACAGAAGACTTTATTCAGAGGACCCATGCAAAAGTCACCAGTAGGAACAAAAGTTAACCTGAATTCTTCTGTATTCAAAAGTACACAGTTGAGAACTAGCAATTAGGTTGTTAATAAACTAAGAAATGTGATTGGGTGCAAGATATAACAGGTGAGCAGGAACTGATTTTCATCAGAGGTAATAAAACCCATCTGCCTACAGAAGGAGCTGCCCAACTCAAGATCAGAGTGGAACTAAAGTCCTTCTTAAAAGGAGGCAGAAATTTGAGAAGTCAGAAAACCAAAGCAGCTGCACCAAAGTGCAAATCACTTTGGTGATGTTAGAATCAGTCCAAATGATCTCTGTGCAAAAAGAAAGAAAGGAGCCATTCAAAGTTTATCTGAAGTAAGATCGTACTTGCTGTAGTTATATAACCTGTAAAGAACTAGCCAGGTACTAGGAGTTTCAGGAGGGGATTAGAATGTGAACACCAGTTCTGAGGTGGGACTTCGTAGCTAGGTTCTGTGAGGCCCACCTGCAAAGACAACTTTGCAACATTGTGATTAGAGCAGGAGCTCTGTAGGCCATCCTTTAACAGGTGAAATGTAACATTTGCGGGAAGTCTGTAATACTCGGATTGCTTTACAGAACTATTTTCATTGTATGAAGCACTTGCGGCATACCAGAACCCAAATTTTGGATCCCTTATGCTTTATCGAGGATTGCATGCAAAGCCACATCCAGCTTCTTAATGAGGGCTGAACGGGTGTCACCCTCTTTCTCCACCAGCCAGTAAGCTTAAATAAAGGTTCTCAGCCTCCAGCCTTGCCCTGAGATAGGCGCGGGGAGCAATCCCGCAGGATGTGTTGCCCTTTCTGGGGACAAGGCATGCCATCAGCCTGCAAGGCAGCGGACTGACAGCGGCAGCAGGGCTGCACCGTGCGGGTAGGTCCCTACAAGCACTCCTGGCAGCTCTTCAGTCAGAAACAGAAAGCACCGAGTGACCACAACACTCTGCCTTTAGGGGCAGCAAAAGAGCTGATTCCAAACTATTTCACAGGAAGCCCTGGGCTCTGCACCAGACTACTTCTGGTTCTCATCCAGTCTTCACGCACTGGTCACTGCCACCCGTGCAGCGGCTGAGACCTGCCCTTTTGGATAGCCCCTTTCCTTCGGGACAGGCACTGGATGTGTGTGAACAAAGCCATGTGAAGCATGTATACTGAATCCATAATTTCTGCCCTGGTGATGCAAAGAAACATAGTTAGAATGGCACAGAACTGTGTAATACTACTACAACTGCTGAATCACCCGTGTAACCGTTCTGCCAAAAATAGTGAAGAGGGTATTTTAAAGAGCAAAGTGGCTATTTAAGCCCACCCTGCCCCTTTCTGTGCCTCCACACAGCAGGTAGATAAAGGTTCCTGTACCGCCTCAGGGAAGTTCAGCCCCGGTACTGCTGCAGTGTTGCTGGTGCCCATAGGATCGTAAACCGAGGGGCAAAATCAGTGTCCTTACAGATAATGGTGAGGAGAAACTCTAAGGGCCGAGTGAGCTGCTCGTTAACCGGGGAGCGCTGAAACACCCGCCACAGCCGCTCCATTCTCCTGGGGCAGGAACGCTAATGGAAAACGCTGGCCTGCCCCGCCAGCCCAGCAGCCCTCCAAGGCCAGCGGCGAGGGGAGACCTCTGACTGCAAGGTCAGCACGGTTAATCTTTTCCCCGGATAATTGCAGCCGGCTCGGCGCCCCCTTCGAACCAACTGCGGCTTCGCATCCACCCCTTCCACACCCCGCTCCTGGCTCGGCCCCTCGGGCCAGCCCGCCCCGGGGCGGAGCCCCGCGTTCCCCAAAAGCCGCCGCGGCCGCGGGGAGCAGCGCTGGGATTTGGGAGCGGTGGGGTCGGCGCGGCAGGACGTGGGGGTCGGGCAGGGCTCGGTGGTGAGTGGGGAGGTGGCGGCTGCTGCTGCTCTCAGCTCTCGGAGGGTGGGACGCTATTTTTCTTGTGTAGTAGTAGCTGTTGCCACCCTAGACCTGAATTCGCTTTTAATAGTTAAAATTGCTATAAACTCGAGTGTACTGCGAGCTTAATACGCTAGCGATGTTCTCGACCAACGTGTAATTCGATGTGGGACTTTTCAAGCCTGCTCCCTGTCGGGGAACTATCGAGTTGTTTAAGTGATTCGTTCTTTCATGGAACTCGGACTTTTGGGTTTAGTCCAGTCACGCTGTGGTTAAAAGAAAGAGGATTCCCTTCTGACCACCGCAGAAAGTGCGTGGATGAATCTCTCTATTAATTCAACCCAATGTTCTTTACGGTCGAGTATCCCCTCTGTCATTGTTGATGTTCAGGGTATGGCAACATGTATTTTGTAAAGGCAATATCTTTCTAGTAAAAGTGGAGATATTAATTTTTTTCTATAATGATGGCTGGATTATCTTTTTAAGTAGTTTGCCACTCACTCAGCTGATACAGAATTGTTCTGAGGAGACACTTACTATTTTTATTGATATAGGGAAGAAGTTCTGACTAAGAAGCAAACCAAGAATTTGGAATATAAGCGGGAAATGAGACACCTGTGGTCATGGGGCGAAATTACTGGATGGTGTGTCTTTTTGATTTTTTTTTTTTTCCTGAGAAAAACTCTGTATCTTTGCTTTATCTTTTTCTTCTTCTTCATACTTCTTTCTAAAGTATGGAAACCTTGAAGAAGGGGGCTGGAGGTTAGAAATTGAAAGATTCATATGGTTAGTTTAGCATACTGGCAGGAGATGAGACTTGAAAGCCTTTCATATGTACAGACCTTGGCCTTCACCTTGGGATCTGTCAAAGGAACAGTGTGCTATAAAATTTTGCATTAGAGTATCCTATTTATATATTAAAGCTTCAACTAATATTTGTAAATCTGTGTGCAAATTGAAAACTTTATTTGATCGTGCTCAGAATTATGTTTAAAAAGTGAGTAGCCTCCATTGCTTAGGCAGAGTGAAATATGAAATGAACAGGAAAAGGATCTATTTTTGTTTTATATGTGTTGTGATATTTATGATAGATGAAATCTTGATTTAGTATGTTTAGGGGGCTTAACTGTCAGTTTTGATGAGTTTCTCAGGTGTAAAGATCAGGTATGTAGCAGATAGTGGGCAAACTGAGCTTGGCTTTGTCTCTGTTAATTAAATGATCTGCCATTAATCATGGCAGAACAGGATTATGAGGAACTTGGAGCTGGAACTGGCCTCCCTCTGATACAATGTCATATTCACGTGGCTCTGCCTCCTTTGTATTGAAAAGCTGGCATGGTCTAAGCCTGTGTGTCCAGACCTCTGTACTGCACTCTTTTTGGCAGTATAGTAGGGTGACCTTAGTTGCCTTGTCTTTTTTTTTTTAAATGATGTTCTTTGCAGCAGTGTAAAGAATAAGAAGGATTTCTGTGCATGTAGGTGTTGAGTATGTAAAATTGTCATTTTAGCTTCTTTCCTTTCCTCGTGTGTCTAGAAGAGCCAGGTAACTCATCATGAAGTAAAGATGATAAAAGGAAAACTGGAGCTGCAGAAATTGTTCAGGCCTGCTGAGTGTCTGCAACTCTAAAAATTCATTTAGGTGCTGGGTTATTGGCATTTCTGGAGGAAGTGACTAAAGAGGGTTCAGCTGTACAAAAGGCAGGGTTAAGCAATGGGTGTATTTGTGATATTTTCCAGGTAGGCACTACAAGTGATAAAGCAGGGAAGAATAACAGGGAGTATAAGTGCCAAGGGAGGTATTTTCAAGTACAATTTTCCCATAAAATTAATTGGCAAAAATAACTGTAGAATGCAATGTTTAGGGGGGTATAATAGAAAATGGGGAATGAAAAATACTTATATTGTGAGGAAGGGGAAAAATAAGATGTTGAGAGAAATACTTGTTTTTGGGAAGGGCAATCTGGTGTGGGCTGGACTAGTTTGGTTTTGAAGTTCTTATCTCTTTTCTAACATAATTGGATTACTTCAACATCTTGCAAAGCATATGCTATAGTTAATGACAAATTGTGGTTGCTTTCTCAAATTCAATAATTGACACAATTTTCATGTAACATTCACAAGAATTAATATTGTGAACACTGGTAGCAGAAATAGGTCTGAATGGAAGCAAAATGGTGTATATGCACCCTAGTGCAAGTGTACTAGCTTGGCTCATGCTAAATAACATTGGTAACTGGAAAAAAGCAAGTTCTGTAATGACTGCAGCATGTAGTCAGACTAGTTCAGCTTAGTAAAAATCCTTGGAGGCTATTCACTGCAGTGCTCCTTAACATTATGCCTGGGAGACGACCTGCTTTAACCTTTCATGGTGAGGAGAGTGGTGGCCCAAACACATAGCAGGCACTGATTTAAACCCAGGTGCTTTTCTGTGGTATTCCTGTCTTTCTTCTTATTGTCAAGTGTATTAAATGTGGGTTTGTTTACTCTTATGGTTTTTTTAACTCTTTATTCATATTTGAAAGGCCCATTTTAAATGGACCAGGCACAAAGTTTTTACAAAGTGTTAGCATGAATTTTTATGACATGTACTTACAGTAGTGTTAAATCTTCCTCTTTCACAGAAAGAGGAACCAATAATGCCAGCACTGAACTGGAAACCCTTTATCTATGGAGGTTTAGCATCAATCACTGCAGAATGTGGTAAGAGTTTGTTTTAATTGTTGACATGATTTTCTTTACTTGGACAGTCTCCATGTAAAACAAGTAGGGTTCCATGCTGCCAGTGACACAGTGGTATATGGTGGTCTGCAGCATAGAGTTTTTTTGCTTAATGCTGACTGAAGAGTTTCTCTTATCTCTGTTGCAATGCCAGAACACTTGTGTCTATAAACTCTCATCCCTGGTGAATCTTGTTTTCTATACATATTTTGCTTCTGTGTTTTATTATTTGGTGTTGTTTGATCTGTTCCTAGACAGTGGTCATAAGTAGATACAGCTTCTGCTTTGCTGCAGTTGACTAGTTACACTCTTAACTTGTAGATTTTTCTCTTAGCTTTACTGGATATCTGTGTTGTAGTTTAAATAATCTTTTCTTGAATGTAAGTGGTTGCTTAGATTTGAACACTTGAAAATTCAATAGTGAGCAGCACAGAATAATTGCTGTATTGAGACAGTGCATCTGATGTTTTAGGCCTCCTCTAAAGGCAAACCTTAAATATCCACATTTTTGTGGACTTGTATTTGAAATGCATGTATATGAAAGTAAAGGAAATCTGGATATTCATTGTAGCAGGACATGGTTGGGCATGTGGTGGGCTTGCATGAAAGGTCTGTCTAGTAAAGTAGAGGCAGTATAAAATTACACTTAAAATTATTATCTTTTGTTTTCATAGAGTAGTTTGTGTTGGAAGGTCATCTGGTCCAGCCCCCCTGCTTTGAGCCGGGACATCTTCAATTAGATCAAGTTGCTCAAAGCCTTGTCCAATCCAACTTTGCATGATTGCAGAGATGGGAAGGGTTTCTACTTAGGGAATTTGTACAAACTTGAATTTGAAACCTGTCATTATTTGACTTGACTGAATATGGCCAATAATGCCAACAGCTTAAGGAAGACATACAATTCATGAAAGCTTTGCTTGTCTGGTAAGCCTCATTTAAACAGATGTAGTTAATCCTGACTCCTGTTAGTACTTAAGTGAGTATGGCATGTTGAGGTGGTCCTTTCCTGGATGGATAGAGTTTCTGAACCCTTTCATAAGGGGAGCATGGAGAATATGAATTGAACATAACATAGCAGTAGGCTACAGGAAAGCAGTAACAGAAATAGGTACTGCTGCTATTGCTTTTTCAGATACTAGGCCAGAATCTGTATAGCGTGTCCTACAGAATTTGCCTTCAGTGATGTCCTCTTCAAAGGGGTTGGTAGAATACATGTGCAAACTCAGTGCTTGATTGGGATTGCAAAGTCCTGTTCAGTGTGGCTGCTGGCAACCAGGCAATGCTGTGTTGCCTGAAAATATAGTGAATGTGAACCCAGGAGGTAGGCAGAGCCTCTGTCAGGCCTTTAGAAGAAACAAGGTGATAGAATGTGAATCACTTAAAAGAAAGTCTTGGTAAGACAAGCTTCTTTCCCATGGGAGTACTTTTATATATTATGATATATAATAAAAGTTGCTGTTCCTTGTATGATGTTCTCTGTTGTCTTTGGCTAGGTAGGTACTTTGTTAATTTTCTCACTGGTTTTTCCTTTAAGGTACTTTCCCCATTGATCTTACCAAAACACGTCTCCAGGTTCAAGGTCAAGTTAATGATGCCAAATATAAAGAGATTCGCTACCGTGGAATGGTGCATGCGCTGGTCAGAATATGCAGAGAAGAAGGGTTGAAAGCCTTGTACTCTGGGTAAGAGTAACTGAGTTGCAGCAATGGCTTATGAACAGTCTATTGGTAAAAGTATTTGCCCATTGTATGTGAATTTTTGGGCTTCAGGATTGCAAGGTATTTGGCTAGCCTTAATCTGGAAGTTGGAGGACCCAGCTTTGATACCTTCAGTGCTGCACACTGCCATAGCATTTAATGTTTTAAAAATAGCCCCTCAAGCAACAAAACCTACATGAAACACAATACCTAAGCATAAGGTTATTTTCTACAGTGCTGCTGTGGTTGTTCCATCTCCTGGAATTAAAATTGGAATTACCTTTGCCTATAAATGAGCATGCTTTACTTCAAAACATGCAGGATGGTGGGGGAGCTACATTTCAGACATGACTGCCAGCTATTTTATAGTTTACAAGTTGAAGCATGGTCTAATAGTAATAATCCCTTCACAGTTCATTCATGTTCTTGCAGGCTCTATTTAAAAAAATAAAAACCAAAACCTAACAAGCTCCAAAGCTTGTTTTGTTTATAATGAGTTTAAATTGTTGATTTAAATGAACAAGCCTTTCTTTGCTATATATCTCTGCACTAGGAAGAATTTTCTGATGAGTTTTTGAGATCTTGAGCATAAACATTATTGCTGCTTGTTTTCACAGGATTGCACCTGCAATGCTACGACAAGCTTCATATGGAACTATAAAAATAGGCACATACCAGAGCTTAAAAAGAATGTTTGTTGAGCATCCAGAAGGTGAGTGGTTATTTTCTTTTTAATTCAGGACTGATTTGCTTGAAGCCAATTCCATTTGGTATCTTACTGTACCATTTGAACAAGATTACCAAGATTATCAAGACATTCCTTACACCAGTTACAGCAAAGTTAGTCAGCAAGGGTAACTCATCAGAGCAGGTTTTATGGCTTCTGTAACTGGCTCTCTCTGGTTAAATGAGGGGAGGCATCATCCTGTCCTAATGCATCTTAAGTTTTGTAAATCTGCAGCTAAAATCTTTGTTTGTGAAACAGATGAAACCCTCATGATGAATGTTCTGTGTGGCGTTCTTTCTGGAGTAATCTCATCATCTATTGCCAACCCTACAGATGTCTTAAAGGTAATTACGTAGAGCTTGTCTTTTAGCTTTTGTTCTCTCCTGAAGTAAAAACAGTCTCCTGATGAATATAGGATTTGTTTTGTGACCCTGTTTATTATCATTTCTTAACTTCTAAAGAATCAGTAACATCCTGAATTCTTGGAACCTCCTTCTGGTCCATACTAATCATTTGGAAGTATGTGTGAGGAAGGTGAATGCTGGGGAGGTAGTTAGATCCGCATGTTTCTGCTTGTGGGGGGAGAATAACTTTGTTGTGGTGTTTGTGCAGAAGCCACACTCTGTATTTCATCTATACTTCTTGGTAACACTGTTATACTTGTATGTTGCTAGAGCTCAAAATAGTTGAATATCAGTTCAGAGGCAAGAGTTCCAGGGAATGCTACTAGTACTGTATGATTCCTTAGCACTGTAGAGAGGCTTTGCAAACCTTTGTTCTAAGGAAATGGCATTCCAACATCAGTCATTTAAAGTGAATTAGTGAAACAACCAGCTCTTTAAGAATCTGTTAGCTTGATCATAGTCAGTTACTTGAAAGGGTTGATGGGTTTATCTTATAAAACTGGAGCTACAAAGCTGCTCCTAATGAAAAGGAAGTCAAGAAAACTCTCTATGTTTTCCTGAAATTACTAAAAAGCTTTGTCCTTCATAGTGCTAGTGTGGTTATGTAGTGGCATTTCAAACATAAGCTTGTATTTCACGTGTGGCTTCAATTAGTTACTTCCTAAAATTATATCCACCCACCAAGTCACTTGTTGACAACCTGTGTATACAAGTTACCTTGACAGGTCCCTAAGGATGATCTTATAAATCTACAGGGTTGAAGACCATGGTTCTCATGGCTGAAACATTAATCTGTTTAACCTTTCATTTCAACATGTTCCTGTGAGAACACTGTAAAGGACATCCTGCAAAACCCATCTGCCAGTCTTATCTAAATGGAGCAGTGTACCCATACAGAAATAGAAGTGACTTAATGCAGCTAAGAATTCTACCACATACTTCTTCAAAATTAGCAGCTGCATGGGGATAGTTAAGGCAAAAGATTGCACTTATATAGTTGTGATAATGCCAGCTCTTGCTTTTATACTTAGAGAAATTGACTTTACTACTTGCAATTGTATCTTGATAGTTCAATGTAGTTTTATTATTTTTTTTGTTATATTTATTTTTTTTAATTGTATCTTCTAATGAATCTCAGATCAGAATGCAAGCTCAAGGTAGAACAATTCAAGGAGGAATGATGGGCAACTTCATACAGATCTACCAAAATGAAGGCACTAAAGGATTATGGAAGGCAAGTTTTTTTAGTTCTATCTTACACTTCAACTACATTTCCTTGTTCAATTGAATGTCATGTATTCTTACAGTGTTTTCAGCTGAAATATGGAGGATGTAATGTCTGTCATTTGCCATGACTGCTTCACTGCTGGTGTCTCAGTGCTTATTGGTGAAGGGTTACAGCCAGCCTTGTGTGTGAGGATTAGCTGCCACTTAGGAGAGGGAAGACAAATGCAGGGTTCAATTAGGGTGACTGGCTCTAGGAACAGTTCAACAACCTTTTGCCTGACACCTCTTAATCTGTACATTCTGTCTGTTTTAAAACATATGCTAAAGAATATTTGGAAGTGAAGGAGCTGCTGAGCATCCCTTCTAGCTCAGGAACTCTCATATTCAGTTTCACAGGTTGTCTCTTGGGCCAGTTATAGTCAATGACTGTACAACAACTGAAGAGCCAAAAATGGACCATTGTTTTGAGCAGCTGGAGAATAGGAATGTTTTTCCATTAGTGTGCTTTTCTCACAGTTTCTTGATCTCCAGTTTTCTGTTCATCCTCCTTACTTTATCAGTTTTTCAGCTAGCAGCAAAGGAATGGAGGTTTTAGCTGACTGTTGATGCAAGAATTGAGATGTTAAGCAGAGATGGTAAATAACTTAAAGGATCTGAAGTTTCCATTCTGTATGGAGAAGTGATTTATGTTATTTCAAATTTGTGGTTTTGGAGTACATACATCTAAGACTTGTACTAATTAGCCTTATTTGAATTTGCAAGGTTCTTAACACATTTGTAGTGTTTTGCTTTGTATTATAAGAGTTTGGCTTTTCTAACAGTGCACAAAGGTTGACTTTAAACTCCAACTATATCCTTCCTTTTGCCAGGGAGTATCATTGACAGCACAGAGAGCTGCTATTGTTGTTGGAGTAGAGCTGCCAGTATATGACCTTACCAAGAAGCACATAATTCTGTCTGGACATATGGGAGATACAGTATATACTCACTTCCTGTAAGTTTGTATAACTGTTTGTATAGCTCATTATTAGATAATTCTTGCTGCAGGGGAGAGGAGTATTTTTATTTTTAATCATCTGTCTAGATGTGTACATTTATTTCTGATGTGTTTATAATTTTTAGGGTAATAGCATCTCAAATGGTAGCGTGGAAGCTAATTTTATTTAGCACTTGAATTTAGGTTTCTTTTGAAACATGGAAATTTGTTTTGTGGGTGGTCTGAATCATTCAACTGTGCAAATTGAGGTTGGAAGAAATTTGCAGTCAAATATTATTCCCTGGGGTATGAACATCTTTCCAAGCATAATGTATATAAGGGCTATATAGCAAATTTTCAAAATTATGTTTTTATAGTAAGTGAAAAGTAACTTTTCACATCCATTAGCTGATTTAATTTTTTTAGTAAAAGCATTAAATAGTCATTATTACTGTGTGTTTCCTGGGAAGGGGAAGTTCTTATACATCTGTGTGATAGAGCAGGTTTCATTAAACCCTTCTTTTACTAGTTCCAGTTTTCTTTGTGGGTTAGCTGGAGCCCTTGCATCCAACCCAGTTGATGTTGTAAGAACACGTATGATGAATCAGAAAAGCCAAAACCATGGGGGACACTCAGCCTACAAGGGCACTTTGGATTGCTTGTTACAGGTAAGTAGCTTGGGTATCATCATAAATAGAAACTGTTGCCACCAAGCAATGGTTTTGCTGTGGAGCTCAAAATCGTTCTGTTTTCCCTAGTAACTTAGACATGCTTTTTGCCATAATATTTAAAAGGACTATACTGTCAGTAATGCACTTAACTGTGAAAAGTATCTATCTTGATAGAAAGGCAGGAAGAAAGTTAGCGTCTGTTGCAGAACCTTACTTTCTTTGGGTGCTTGGACGAGGAGAGGAAGGCTCTCAGCAGCACTGTCTTGCTCAACTTTATACTATGTCAGGCTGACAGGAAATTACCATTTCATAGGTCAGTCCTTGAAGAACAAGATCTTCTGAAACAGATGGTTTTCTATGTTGCTTACTGCATAATGCAAAACCTAGTACAGCCAGAGGCAAGGTCAGCCTCTGATTTTGATTACTTTGATTTGGTTTCTGAAGTCTCTGTGGTATGAGGTGGGACCATGATGGCCTTGTACATGAAGAATGGATAGTAAGCTGTTGCTGTCCAACTGTTTACTGAACAGTCAAAGTCACATCGTCCAGGGAAATTTGAGGTCCATAAAGCAAACTGAAATATTTCAAGGGACTGCCAAATGTTAGCTACAGGTTTACATGCAGCAAATTTCAGGGGGCTGTCCAATGTCAACTGCAAGCTTACATCTAATGAAATGTATTTCTTTGTCCTGTCAGACAATAAATTTAAATTAAGATTACAGGACTAAGCCACCCCTTTGTCTGGTACAGTCTTGTTAGCTGACATGCTGTCTGGATTTTTCACAAAAAAAGAATTACATAAGTGTGTTCTTATGTTTTTTGTTTTTTTTCTCCCTAGACATGGAAGAATGAAGGCTTTTTTGCTCTGTATAAAGGCTTTTGGCCAAACTGGTTAAGACTTGGTCCTTGGAATATCATTGTATCCTTTGCAGAGGTGTGCAAAATGACTAAGTTAGCCATACAACAGCAAATATTGTTTTTTACAGAATTACTCAGTGTGGGAAGTGTCATATCAGCACAGATATTCTCTTTTCTTATGAATGGAAAATTGTGCGGTTGAGAGTTTTTTTTTCAGTCAACTGCTTATAGACAGATTGAATTTGATTCACATGGAGTCAACACTAATATGATCTTGAAAAATAATTTTCTGTTCTTCCAATTTCATACCTGCCCATTTTCTTTGTTATGAGCCTAGTTTTAATCAAAGTTGACCAAGTGAATTAGGAATGGGAGCTCTTTCCAGAACTGGGGAAACTGTTGGCAGTTACTGATGCAGTCTTTTTGTTTTTGCTTATCTTAGTCTCAGAGTTTTGGCTTTTTTCAGGAGCCACCTGATCAGAGCCCTGGGAAGTAGGTTGGTAGAAGTGTTTTTTACAATAAACAAACCTTCTTTAGCCCATCAAAGCTAAAGTGATTAAAGACTCTTAAGGGCTTTTGCAGTATTTTTATGGCAGCTTTTGCAGGACTGCTTCCTCTGTCCTGGGTTTAAGATCCTGAGGAAGATGGACGGGAAAGTATTTTGTGTCACCAGCCTTTAAGCAAATTTCATTGTTCTGCCTAGTATTGTGTAAAAATGTGGCCAACATGCAGCATGGCAAAGGAAGGAAAAAGGAGTGGAACACAGTTGCACACAGATGCAGCTAACCTTCAGTAGTGAAGGGGACCAGTTTTCACTGCATGAACAGGAAACAGTTTTCCTTAATCAGCTGCGCCAGTTCTTTCTGACATATGAACAGCTGAAGAAATTGGATGCCTGACATGCTGAGCTGTGTACAGAATTCTGTTCATGTACTGTCTGAGTTTAGAGCAATGTGCAAGTTGTCTTGAGTGTTTGCTCTTTATTGTCTGAGCTGCTGGCGCCAAAGGAAGAGGTCACTGCAAGACTGAATGAGAAGAACCTGGAAGTGATTTCAAGGCAAACTGGCTCCTGTAAACCATGGTTTGTGCACGTGATTCAGTGGATGATGTGCACTGTTTTTCAGACTGAACCAAACACGGTGGAATACCTTCTGTCAAATGTTTCAATGCTCTTGAATGTAAAGATCTGCAATGCAACTTTGTGCATCTGAGTCTCAAAGCATAGTGTTTTATAAGAGTCAAAGACAAGATTTTTTTCTTTATTTCCATAGGTTTCCATAAAGGAAGGAAAAGAAAAATATTTCTGTAAAGGAAAAAAGTATTTCTGTAAGGGAAGATAAGCAGAACTGAGGAGTTGGGCTTTTCCTGCTTTCAGAAATATATGCAATTGATTGTAATAGTTTAAAGCTTCCAGTTAACTGGAAGTGTCACAAGACATCTTTGCTGGCTTTCAGGTTGGCACAATAACTACTGCAGTGTAAAATCTGTTTCTGGTTTTGAAGCTTTCCTATGTTCTAAGTCCTGAGATGTCTGCATAATTTTCTGGGAATAATCCAGCTTCATTAGCAAGTGTGGTTGCTACAGTTGACAGTTTTGCATAGCTTGAAGAAAATTTTTTTTTTCTTCCATGTATAATTCTTGATTTCAGCATAAGTGCTTCTTAAACATATTCATATGGAAATTGCTGGTAGGAATGAAGTTCAAACAAGTTCATGCCCATCTGCTGATCTTGCAGAGAAACTTCCCATGCCTCTTCCATCCTTGGGAAGAATTATTGGTTACTGGCTATTTTACACTGAGCAGTCAGGCTCGCTCATGTGGGTGCCTATGTGACAAGAACCTACCCCTCCAAAAGTAAATCTACTATAAAGACTGCTTTCCTCCTTTAAAAAGACCCCCAAGTCCAGAACTAGTGAACACTTTCATATACCAAAGATGCTAAAGTTGCTGTTACATGCAAGGAAACACTTGATGTAGAAATCAACCACAGCTTCTATAAACATTACCTTTAGGCTTAAAGGTATATGAAAACTTTAGGGCTGTTAACTCAACAGTTACATCAAGCTTCTTAAGTGCTGTTGTTGAATTCCAGGAAAAAGGAGTATGTGAGATGCAAATTGCAGGACTGATCTTCTGTGTTTACAGAGGGCAGCAAAGCAGGATCCATAGCTTTGGATTTTTGTGGCCTTGTGTTAATCTTTTACACATTTTTCATAGAATCATGCATTCCACTTAAAGAAGTTTCATTGAGATATCAAAATTGCTGTAATCACTTAAAATTACTAATTTTGAATGCACAACTAGAATTTTTAAATGCACAAGGCACTTTCTTTCTGAAGGTAAAACATTTTCTATATATAGGGGTATGCTGATGTGCAGTGTTTCCCCTTACAACTGTTTCTGTGCTTTAATAAAAAAAGTGTAAATATTTTTGTATGCTGTGTAAGTAAAGTATATGTTTTTCAAGCCTATTAAAAGCATTAAAATGTAAAGTGTGATGATTTAGAACTGCTTTCAGTTTTGAAGTTTCAAATACTTGAAGAAGTTTGGAGAAGCTTGCCACTTTGGAGTGACAGTAACTGCACTGTACCAATTAATCTGTGGGGAAGCTGCAGAGGCATAACTGGACAAGATGGACTGGAATTGACTGCAAATTCCCAAAGGCACCAAAATGGTGAAATAGGAGTTCAGGATCTCAGCTGAATGTGAACCAAGAGTGTGCCCCAGCTGCCTGAGAAGGCCAATGGCATCCTGGCCTCTATCAGCAGCAGTGTGGCCAGCAGGACCAGGGCAGGGACTGTCTGCCTGTACCTGGCACTGGTGAAGCTGCATTTTGTTATAAATGAGAGCTTGACTAGGCCAATATTCAAGCAGCAATCAATTTATTAATTAATATGGTAAAGTATGAGCAATACAGTGCTGGGTACAGTGCAGTTCCTTCCAACTGCACACTGATAGTTGAGGCTTACAGGTATTTGTAGGGGCACTCATAAGCTTTCTCAGCAGTTTCTATTCCAAATTTTTACATTACAATTCTATACATTATTGTGATTTATTTTCTCAGAATGTATCCCAGGAGTCTCCCATCTGGTGGGGTCCAGCTTCCAGATGTGGGTCCACTATAAATCTTATGACAGTGATGTCCAGCTTCCCTTGGTCGAAACTACTGAGTTGATGTTCATCTTCCTTTCCCAAGCTGCTTTTCACTGTTTTGTTAAGGCCTTGAGATAAGCATGTTTCCTTTTTATATATTCTAAAGCTATAGTTTCAAAGATCCTTACTACAAGCAATATTCTAAAATTATACTTCAAAAGGTTACTATTGCAAAACTCAGCTACAAGCAGAAAGTTCTTGTCAAAAAGCAACATCCTAAAGCTTTAATTCAAATGCTCCTAAATCCACTTAAGACTTATAGAAGTTAATTGCAAACAAAGGATAGGTTCAAAAGCCTTCTTCCATGCTTTATTTTCCTCAGTTATTTATTAGAATTTATCTTTATAACTGTCCCATGGTTGGGACACAATCACAAGTACATTGCCTGTATGTACCTGCCACGAAACACAGCTTTGTATTTCACAATTTCAAGTGCTCTGTCCAATTCTGGGCCCACAGTTTGGGAAGGATATTGAGGTGCTGGCGTGTGTCCAGAAAGGGCAGTGGAGCTGGGGAAGGGTCTGGAGCGCAAGTCCTGTGAGGAGGGGCTGGGAGAGCTGGAGGTGTTCAAGCTGGGGCAAAGGAGGCTCAGAAGGGACTTTACCACTTCTAAAACTGCCTGAAAGGAGGGTACAACCAGATGGGATTGGTTTCTTCTCCCTGGAAACCAGCAACGGGACAAGAGGCCAAAGCCTTAAACTGCACCGGGGGAGGTTTAGGCTGGACATCAGGGGCAGGTTCTTCTCCAAAAGGGTGGAGTCACCGTCCCTGGCGGTGTTAAAGGAATGACTGGACGTGGCACTCATGCCTAGGTGACATGCTAGGCTTTGGTCACAGGTTGGCCCGGACGACCCGAGGTCCTTTCCAGGCCACTCTGTGATGCTGTGGATCCTCCCGGCCGCCAGGGGGCGCCATCCCGCCCGCTCGCCCCTCGTGACGCACTTCTCTGCCCCGTGCCCATGACGTCTCTGCCACGCGACGCGGCGCGGCGCGCTCCGAGCCTCCCCCGGAAGCGCCGCCCCGCTCCCGGCGTTCCGCCGCGCTCCGGGCGCCGCTCCCGGCCCGTCCCGGCCCGGCCGCCCGTCCCGCCGCCGGCAGCATGCTGGAGCCGCCGCCCGCGGAGCCGCCGCCCGCGGGCAGGGACGTGCGCGACCGCCTCAGCCTCTGGGACCGCCGCCCGCAGCCCACCGCGCCGCTCAGCGACCGCCAGACCGACTCGGTGCTGGAGCTGAAGGCGGCGGCCGAGAACCTGCCGGTGCCTGCCGAGGTGAGGCGGCGGCGCTGCCCGGTCCGGAGGGGCGGAGGGCGGGAGCGAGGGCGGGAGTGGCCGCGGTGCCACGTCGTCAGGCGGGCGGCGGTGACGGCCCAGAGCGGCTGGGCCTGCGGGGCCGCGGCCGCTGCTGCGGGGGGCTCAGCTGCGCTTCGCGTTCTGGGTCGCGCCCGCAGCCGCGTCCCCAAGCTCCCCCCTCCCTCCCTCGGGAGGGCTCCCTCTCTGGGAGCCTCCTGCCGCCCTGCCTGGCAGGGGTTTGTGAGGCAGCGGTGGGAGCTTTCCCCGAGAATCCACGGGCTTTCTCTGCCCGCCCTCGCCGCTTCCCTCAGACCACCGGCATTTCACCTGCTGAAGTTGGGAACTTCAGTCGTGAAGTTCATTCTTTTGGTCTTAAATTGATCCTTACTAACGCATGGCTTCTGGCGCCAACGTTATTTCCTGGTACGAATTGCAGGCTCTCGATTGAGATGAGGAAAGCCAGGAATAGGGGTAAAAACGTTAATAATTTGTCAGCACCATAGAATACATGGCCTCCCACGGTGTAAAATTCCAAACTCTGATAAAGTGATTACTTATGAACGTTCCCTTTTCTGCAAAGGGGAATGGAACAGAATGCTTGCATTCCTAAGTGCACTTTTCTGGAGAGGATTTGTATTTAAACAGGATTGTAGTGTAAGATAAGTGCCATAAAATCAACAAAGCCTGCTCTCAGCAAGTATCTGAAAGCTCAGAACTGCAAAAGGGAGAGTATAAAGCCATTCCTTCCTCAAATGCACCTGCTTCATTTAATCCTTCCTGGTTGTGCTTTTTTGTGTCAGCAGAATGCAAAAAGTAAATATTGGCAGGCATCCAAAATGATTGTAGAAGGATATCCTGCTGCCAGAGGACGTTTTTAAGGATCTAAACCAGCTTTGCAACAAGGCATGTACTGTATTTGCTAGTGAGGACAGCAGCGAAGCCAAGACATTGAGTTCTTCAGAGACCTGGGACAGTGTTGTGTCAGCTGTCCTGAAACAGCAGGCTCTGATGGATTCACCTTTCCCTCTGTATTAGACACCAGAGGAACCCTGGCTGCCCTGCTGGGGTCAGCCCTGTTTTGGGTGGAGAGGTGTGTGGAAGTTGGACAATATATAGCAATCTGTTTTTTTCTCAAATAGTTGAAATACTGATGGCTCTTTTTCTGTTGGGCTAATATTACCAGGCAGGGAATATTTTACTAAGCGAGTTGTTTTCTAGAGAGATACCAATTCGTAGTTAAGCAGTGTTTTCTGGTTTTACCCTACTGATGTTCTCAGAAAACATACAATTCATCATCATGTAATTGAAGAGGGTATTATATTAGTTAAGTGTATATAATAGTATTTTTCTTCTTGAATTAATTTTTTCCGTATAGACTAATTAGTAGTCTCTGGTCATACTTAAATACAATTTACCTTGAGTTAATTTTTTCCATGTTTTTCTTGCTTAAACAAAATAATTGTGACTAAAAAATAATTCCTGTTCAGCAGAGCTGTTCCTTGTCTTCTGAATAAATTATGACAGCGATCTTGAATTTTCCTTGAATGTCTGGCAAAAAAACCTGACAGTTCCTGTGTGGTGTTTCTAAATGTGTGGATGTTGTAGTTGTTGGTGTAATGGTTGGACTCAGTGGTCTCAGAGGTTTTTTCTAAACTTAATGTTTCAGTGATTATCATATTGATAGGTAAAATGTCCATTGCATTTTTTTCTTCAAAAGTAGATGCCTGTAATTTTCTTATCCTACTGCTTTGGATTGCTTTATAGTTGAGCTGCACCTATGAAGGGATTCTCAGTGAGTTATGTGACCAAAGTTTGTGGTGTTTTGTGAGCAGCTGCCCATCGAGGACTTGTGCAGCCTGACGTCCCAGTCGCTGCCTGTTCTGCTGACAGCTGCAGTGCCAGAATCCACAGAGGATGTCCTTCTGAAGGGATTTGCAGCACTAGGGATGGAGGATGAAAGAATTGAAACAGCACAGCAGGTAAGTGAATGACCTCCAAGATGCAGTGATCTTCAGAGAATTCTGTTAGTTTCTGTGTGTCTCACCTAGCTTTTGGTGGGTTTGCTAAACCTTTTCAAGATGCATAAGGGGGAGCTTGGGGGGAAAACAGCACTGAAGTCTTAGCTCTGAAGTGACAGGTACTTTTTGCATTTGGAGTGGAAACTAATGTGAGAATAAGGCACCCCTTCAGTAAAGTGGTGTTGCTCTTGAAGTAGAAGAACCTACACTATCTAATGTGATACCCTTGTTCTTGTGCAAATAAAGCCAGATGAAATCCAGTCTTTACCATTTTAACTCAGTGAAGGAATAGAATGGAGTATTTCAGTTGGAATGGACCCACAGTGAGGAATTAGTTTCCTAGATTAATAACTGAATTCTGAAACAGCTCTGTTTTTAACAAAAGCTCATCTTCATTTCATAGATCATAGATTTGATTTTTTTTAATTGATTGCATGTGATATCTATATTGTTCACACCATAAAATCTCTTCTAGTTCTTCTCCTGGTTTGCTCAGGTGCAAACACAGATGGATCAAGATGAAGGTGCCAAGTATAGGTACGTGCTCTTCCTCAGTTCTTTTCACTATAAGCAGTTCCACCCTTGAAGGACTTCATCTTGTCCATTAATGTTACCACATGCTCACATTCAGCTGGTGGGGAGTGGGGGAATGTGTGGGAGCAGCTGAGGCTTTCCAAGGCTGTGTGCCTCACTCCCAAAGGCCACTGCCCAAGTGGCAGAGCAGTTAAGGGGATGCAGATTTCCTTCTGAACTGCCCAGTATAGGCAGGTGGAAATTAGTTTTGGCTTACAGACAGGGCTGTAGACAAAGGCAGTCTAAGAGCTTTCCTATGATTTTTCAATTGCTGCTGCTATTGGAATGTCATCCTCTGATTGTGACTAAAAAATAATAAATGTCTGTGTAAGCAGATGTGGCTGGTGGTAATTTCTGTTGTCACCATTTGGCTCATCAGTCACTATGGTTGTCATTCTGTATCTACATTCCCTGCATTCCTTGACACTTTGCTCAACTCCAGTTTAGAGTCTTGCCAGTC